GTAAAATCCAAATGTCTTGTTAATAAGTGAAAACAATAAATTGTAATGAATTAAAATTTAAATTGATGTAATATTAATAAAACCAGAATGATATACATATGTTATAAGATGTTTATTTAATTTAAAGTATAAATAAATTATAAGTTCTCCCCTTCCAATAAAAAGAAAAATCAGAAAATTAAAGGGTGCAATATATGTAAGGAGTACATTTGTACATTTAGCAATTTACATTAAAACAAAAATAATTTTTACTAATGTTAAAAATGTTATTATTCATCTATTGTTAATATTGTAGTTATATGAGATTACAAGGCGCCCCTTGAAACTAATCGTATATATACTAGGTGTGTCCTAGTAAAAAATTATTCTTGGACCAAACTTTGTTTTGGACTAATTTTTACGTGTATTAGTCTTCTAATATTTAATACTATTCCAATGACTATAGCAGAAGCAGTAAATTCGTTCAGAGCACTAGTTTCAAAGTGTACAATCTCCACGTTCACTAAATATTCAGAAAACCAAAAAAAACCTATAACTTAATCAAAAAATGTGTATTCTCCATGCTGATTTTTGTAAACTTTTCATATAGTTATGTAAAGATAATTTACCAGTTTTATATTTCAAAAACGAGATTTTGTCTTTGTTCTGACAATATTTAGTTTAGAGATTGCTCGCTTTGAAAATAAATTTAGAAAATAATAAGTAGGTATTGAGAAACCAAAAATTAGATGTCATCATTTTTATTTTTTTATTTAGTTTAAAGGTTCCCAAAAAAAAAAATTTAATAATTATTACTCATATTAATTTTAATTATTAAAAATGTATTAATAATTAACGTTAAAAATAAAAAATCGTTAAGATTAATAAGTTAGTCAATTTATTATACTGGAACATTGAGTTCATCTTCTATTGCATGACATAATATGTCTTCCTCAATTATATATATATATATATATAATCAGAGGCTCTATTTGTTTGCTTAAATACTTTATGAACGCACTTTATCAAATTAATTAAGAAATTAAGAGAATAAGTTATCCAACGTGGAAATTTAGCAGTTTTAAATATCTTCCTTGGACAAGCTGTTTAATTAAATTCAGAATTGCATCTTTGAACACTGTAGCAGTGTCGTTGATGCGGTATTTACAAAAGGTAGCATCCCAGTTGAATGAGTTGAAAAAATTGGAAATATATTCATAATCCTCAGCTTTAAAGTCATAATATGAACTAATAACCTCGATCATCAGCCAGACCGCGTCTGTACAAAAAGCATTAGGTCTATTTTGGCGATTAATCTAGTTAGATTCATTATCAGTTATGGTTACATAGGATTTTTTTTTTTAATGGTTATAGATTCGTGGATACGACATGTTTACGGTTATTACAAATAATAATTGATAATAAAAAAAAGTATCTACTGGCTAGTCTGAGATACCTAGTCATTACGTTATCAATAACCATACTTTACAAACGTCCATTTCGTTTGGTTATGGTATTTCTGTAACCTATAACCAAAGTAGTAACCAAAATCACCAAATCTATTTGTTTATAAAATACAGTAACCAGGTTCCATTTGGTTATTCGCCGAAACACACCAATTAACGATTTCGGAATTTTGAATATCGTAACAGTGCTGTTGACAAGTATTATCAAATTTTAAATTTAGTATCTTCGGGCTTCGTAGTAATGATAGAATTAATGTGGTGTTCGTAGCGTTTTAAATTTGGAGTGGTAATATTATATTCGGTGTATTTTAGACGTAGTGAATATTATCGCGGTTGTCGACCCTGACGCGACGGCGGCAGAAAAACGTTTTGTGCCGCGCAAACGTCAACGCGGGCAACATAACATACACGTACGCCAAGGAGCCGCGGACCGTCGTGATGGATTTTTTCTCGTCTCTTATCATCGGCACCTACGCTATCGATGTTACGTCTCGCGCGATCGTCGATTATCCGTGCGGAGGGTAGCGTTTTCGCCGGGAAAACACGTGCCCAAAGCACAATTATAATTTATTACACGGTGAAACAATCGCGAGCGCGAATACGTTGTTGACGTTCTTACGGAAAACCGGCGTAAACGATTTACCGTGGCGTTCTTGCGCGTCCGCTGTCGAAGTATCGATTGTCGGTCGCTTACAATCGGCACCGCCGCCGCCACCACCACCGCCGACCGACGTTCGCTCGTGCGCGCCGTCGTCGCGTCGCGTCGAGTAGCGTTCCGTCAGTTCGTTTCGGTTTTGCGAGTCGTGCCGGTTGTTGTCCGTGTGTGTGTGATGTCGGCTCCGCCGCCGGCGACTGATGTCTAGAAAGAAAAAGAAACTTTTGACTGCGAACTTATCGGCGTGCCTACAATAATCAGTATATTATTATTACAGTGTTGTCCGGTGTAATTCGTTTGGATTCACGGACGGACGGTGTCCCGCGGGAATAGTTCGCCGTTTGATGGTAAGTCGTATACTTCGGTAGACCAACGTGATAATGGGCATGTGCACCCAAGGCATACGATAGGTACCGGGAAATGTATCGCGTTCGTCGAGTGTGTATTGTCGATGTGTACACGCGCGTGCCGATACCAAGTCGAATGCCGAAATCCCGTCGACGAACGACATCGGAACGCCGTAGCACACTTCCGTCGTCGATATAAACTTTGCTACCCTAATTATTGTCAACATTGACACCCGTCACCCTACTCGTCGATTGTCGGTAACGCAAAGTCGCACACTTTTGGCACCGTCCCAATACCCGATCGAAGTCTAGACTACTGATCGTTTTATCTTATTACTATTGTTAATTGTGTCTTTACACAAAATGTCAAATGACATTCGTTTTATCCGTACAATACCGCATTCAAGCATCTCACAACCGGCAATGCTTGGGCCCCATCCTTTTGTTTGATTTATTTAATGGAAATTATTTTTTTTTTACAGATATAGAAATGGTACCTGTCTAGTCTTGCTTTTTTAATTAATAATAATATTAATAAGATCGGTATAATAAGTTAATGTTTTATATTGATATTTGGTTTTTAAGTCTGTACAACAGTCTTTCTTAAACATTAAAAACATTAAATATACTTACCTATAACCGAGCATATAATCTAATATTATAAACATCTAAATAATATAATCGGTACCATGAGTTTATGGTTTTAAGACTACCCGTTGTCATTGTTTAGTCCTTTGGTTTCTTGTGACTATCCTGTGTGTGCCTAATAGAAAATTGTTGTTTATCGTGGAATGTAAATATTGAAGGACCTATGAAACATTTACCTACTTATCTAACCATATTTCAAATGCTTGTGAATTTCTAACTAAAACTTGTATTTAAAATTTATTAGTACTTATCCAATTGAAACTAAAATAAAATAGATAATTACTGATTTATAATTAATTAGTATTTAAAATTTAGATAAGCAGTTTCAAGAAAGGTCATTTAACTTCGTACCTATTTGTAATAAATAGTATAGTGAGAACATTCTTGACCTAACAATAGTCTGGTAAAAAGATGTTATACAAAGAAAGCCTGGTGATATTAATTTAAGACTAGACCCATTCATAAATTAATAAAATTAGTTAGGTTAGTAATTTCTATTATATTAAACACAATAATAATACACAAATCATATTTAATAGTATAGGTACTTATTTATTTTCTTTTTTTTTTTATATTGATGTACTATTTCAATACATGTTATTATAATCTAACTAATATCTAATAAAAATACAAAATCTATGATGATTGATTACATTATATTTATTCCATTTTGCAACTTGTTACATACTTATCTATTGAAAAAATAAAGAAGATAATTATAGACTGTGTGTTAGCTTAAGAAGCGGTTTTTTTTAAGAAATAGGCACTTATGTTTGTTTATTTACGTTTATGTATGATGTTTTTTTTGAAATAATAGTCATGATCATTTAAACTGTTTTATTGAGTTTTGTTTGATGTCCAATAGTGATAAGTCATTATAAAACATTGTGGAACCTATCTTGAACCATATTTCTCCAACTAATATAAATTATAGTGTGTACTGATATCAAACCGATTTTAAATATTTGTACTGTTTATATTTCATCAATAATCTTTAACAGGTACCTATTTTTGATAAAAAAAAAACAAAAAAACTGTAAATGACATTAAAATGCCATAATTAATAATTTGTTAGTATCTAGATCAGTTTTTTTTTTTTTGTACATACCTACGTCCAATTCTGTTAAACCAGTTCTTTTTAATATTTAATGTGGCAGTTCAAAAACTGTAAGGGTCACCTCCCTTGAGAAACAGGACCACTTAACTGGGAAGATACAGTGTAAATATTCTATAGGTACACCGAGATAATATACCTAGTTTTATACCATACCTACATTGAAAATAAGCTCATTGTTCCCATTAATTATTTTCGGAATTATTTTGTACTTTATTGCTATACAATTAAGTAAGACATGCACTGTCTTTAGTCATAAAAATGTAGGGTACTGATTATGGTTATACAATTTTTAAACATTTATTTGAAGTCAAACAATTTGTGCCTACCTAGATTTTTTAATGACAATAAATAATCAAAAAAAAAAACGTCAGCACATTTGAAAAATGATTAAGTGCTGAAAACACTTAAGATGTTACTGGTAGGTATCCAACTATTATTTCAAATATTATTCTAAAAATAAATAAATAAAATCCTTAAAAATACAATAAATTATTGTGAATTAACTAGGTAGGTAAGCAATTAATTAGGTATTTGAGGCATCCTTCTATTTATGCAGAAATAATTAAATTATTTCTAGTACTAAAATATTTAACCGTAATATGTATATATTGGTTATTAGGTAACAGCCCTGTAAGTTTATGTGTTAAGTGACCTAATTTAATGAAGTGTGTAAATAAATACCTAGTTATGTAGGTAGATATAATTTTAATTGTTTCACTAACTATTAAATCTAGAATTAAATCATATAAATGTAGATACCTATTTACTTAATTCTGTTGAAAGTCATAAAATATATTTAGGTAATAATTTACATAGGTACTGTATAAGTAGTTTAAATTTTACCCATTCAATTTACATATGTGTTAGTATGTTGGCTACAAAATTGGCCATAAGTGTTAATTAAACTATCTTATTTTGGACTTTAATTTATTTTTTTTTTTTTGCGTTTTAGTGCCCATCCATATGAGTTGCAAAAGAGATACCATGGCTGATATAATGATACACTCTGCTGATAACTCTCCTCGTCGTGAAGTATATCGATGCGGTATGCTCTCCCCAGTTCTTGGACCACGCAGTAGTTTTCGTATGAACAGTGAACTCAAGCATAGTCGTAGTGATGATTTAATTTTGCAAGGTGCTCCATACACTCCACCTGATATGCAGCATGGTATTAGCGATGCTGCGTTTCAAATTCAAAAAGATGCTTGCGTTGTGTATGATGATGAAATTACTGATCATAGAATGTCAATGAATTGCTATGATTCACCTATTGTTGCTCAAGAGTTGAATCCGACAACACCGTTATTAAAGCTCACTGGAGATTTTTCATCAGACGGTGCTAACAAACGATGCAGTGTAATAGATCGTATTGATCCGGAAGATAGCATTGGTGACATAATATCCCAAAATGACTTTTACAGGTAATATCTCATAATAATAAATAGACTTATTTTAGATAAATACAACATAACAAAAATCTTATTATTTTACTAATTTTAGATTATTGTAATTATAGATATCTAGGTAATTTTCAAATATTTATTTAACTTATCAGTTTTTATACCAAGTACCTACTTGTATATTTTATACAAAATATCTAGATTACTTTTAAAGTTCTCAGATTTTTCTAATTACAGATTTAATTTTTATAAATTAACCATGAGGTAAATAATTAAATAGAAAACCTCAACAATTTTGTTTTAGACAAATTAATTATAATAATGTTTCAATAAAACTTATATTAAATAATTTAATTTTACTAAGGTATTAATGCTACTTTTGAATACTCCATTTAAGTTTAAATTGTTTATACTTATTTACTTATTTGTCCTTATAATATTGTTTTTTCTGATTTACCTACCGTATTTAAGCTATAGCTTATTTTTGATAAATATATTAAGTAAAATTATGTTTATGGTCCAAAGATGATAAGGATAATATAAATATAATAAAACCTTTTTTTTTTTCTCGTTTTAACTGAATAAACATTGAGTGAGCATTATGGTTGTCATAATAAAACATTTAGCACCTAAGGCTAACAAATATGAATAAAATCCAAGTAAGTAAAGATAAATGAAATATGTAATATTTTATATGCATTTACCTAAACCAGTTTATCCATTATCGAGCCAAGTATTATTATTTAACTATCAAAGAATTTATGGAATAAATTATAATGATTAGTAGTACCTATATGATTTATATTAATCATGTTTACCTAAATACTTTTTGACAAAAAATTAAAATTAATTTCTACAGATTTGTTTGTATGTTTGCATAACATATTAATTATTTAATTATTTACAAATATATTCTGTTTAAACTTTTTTGAATTAGTTTCTAGTTTTTGTGTCACACACATAGGTAATTTATAAAACATCTCATTAATAATTTATTGTACCTACCTATATCTTATTTTGAAATACTTTCATGAACTTGAAAGCTGAGACTACCCTATTCGAGTAAGAAATAAAAATATGTTCACAATGCATTAATAACAATTGTGAGAAAAAAAGAAATATAAATAGTAAAAGATCTATTATACACAATATTATACATGACATCATCCTTGAGTATAATGATGATCATAATAATGACTAACATAGCTATATATTTTATATCCTTAGGGTTTTAATGTTAAAATTGCCAATTTTCATGGTCACATGTGCTCTTGTATATAATAATTATTTTTCATAAGATAAACAAATATTCATCATTCAAACATTGAAAACTGAAAATAGCACATAAATTATTTTCTGTTAAAAGTTACAGAAAAAATGAACATAAACAAAATCTATTTTTCTAAATAATTTTATTGTTTTTTATACCTACCTAACAGAAAATACATTTTTTTTTCAATGTGAATTTTCGTTTTCAGTGATTCCACCCAATTGCATAATGTTTGGCCAAAAAATTGCCTAACTTGATTTTCAAATGGCAACCTATATTAAAAAATGCCATAAATTAACAAAGTTTTTGTTGAAAAAAATTTTAGTGTTATCATGTTTAATATCTATCCACCCGTTGCCGGGATATACTTATACCACTTTTATAGTTTTACATTTGGTCCTGGATTCAGTAATTTTGCCCGGCACTCGGGTAGGGAAGGAACGGTATTAATTTCAATTTTAATATTTAATTATTAGTTAATGTACAATGTATGAAGTTCCTACCAATTTAATTAAAAACACACACAACTGGATGTATCTTATGCTCGGCCTTGTGTACCTTTCTAATTAAGTCTGTACTTTAACCAAATCATCAAACATTGTTATCAATTTATAAGCGTCTAAATTAATATGTCGAATAAGTAGACAATAAAACTAGATGTCTATATTTGTATAACACAATCCGATTTGTATGATTGAAAGTTATCAACTAGAAAAATATTCAATTATACATTTTTGTGTTATGTATTTTAAGTAATAATAATAATATTATGTACTGGTAATGCCGAAGAATGTTGGTAAAAGTTGACAACCGAGAAAAAAAGACTTATCTTCACTTACCTATATATTTTGAAATTATTTTTCTATTCAAAACCGTTATGGTATACATAGGTATGATACCTATTTGTTACGCTGAAAGGTGAAAATTGTTACAAGACCACGCGGTTTTGCTCCGGCGAGTTCATTCGTGTTATGAGAACTGAGAAATCAAATCACAAGGTTATTTATTATTATATTCAGTAGGATTTCCGGTAGCTCTAAATTCCCAGGCAATCTTTATCCGTTGCATAGAAACATATTGTTCGTAATATTTATTCGGTTCTTAAAATACCTAAACCCTCTAATGCGTTTTTGATAATAGTAAAAACTCCCTATAAACTCCCTATAGGTGTTGCCTGTAAATTACTTAATTACAATTTACCATAATACATTTTAGGTGTATTTTTGATACAAACTAATACAAACATAACATAATAACATAATACTATAATAGTTTATGTTTAATTTTTAATGTACAATATAATTTTCAATGTTTTATTTTGAACAGCAATGTGTTGTTAATCTAGTAACATACTTACAACAAAACTAATTTGAATATAATTTATATATATAATAAAACGTCTTCGAGTAAGGTGAGGTTATAGGCTAGGTACAAGTCTAGATTTCATGAAAATATTAATCAATTTGTTTAATTTTTTATATTTAGTATTTATTTATACCAGAGAGTTTGTGGTTTGTTCTAGATTTGTGTTGTTTAAACGTCACTACGAAAAGTATTTGGACATATCGCGGAAATACGAAGAAGCTCGGAGCTTGGCCTACTATTTGGAGGAAAAATATCACGAAATAAAGGTGAGTTATCTATTTATTTTCGGTTTTGTTAGATACTATTTCCGCTGATATTGTTTATCGTCGTGTTATTTAGAATATAGGTCGATATACAATTATTATTATTATTATTATTATTTTATATTCGTTAGTCTTTAGGCTGTTAGTAGGTACTTTCACTATTGTAGCTAGTGTTTACGTTTGATCAACACCCACGTTGATATAACGGTGTTAGGAAGATAGAGAGATGACGATTATTCGTTTAAAGCGTACCAAAGCCTAAACGCGAATAGACTCGAAGTGTGGTGATGATGACAAAATTACAGATTTATTATTTAGGTCATTTTAGTCGTGTGCTGTGATTATTATTTACGTATTTACAAACAAAATAGGAGAAAGCCCGTATTATTATATTGTCCCGGAGTCGTTTTTAAATTTAAGTACCAAATACGTAATATAGTAAATTATTGCGGCGTTTATGTGCGCGTAAAAAGTTTGGTTTGGTGTCTAAAATATTGTTTTATCAATAATTATAGGCAATTTTAGTTTGTTCAGTAAAACGATTTAATAAATTAACGATGTCAATATAATACAGGCCTAGAACCAAACCTAAATAATACTCTGGCGATTCGTGAGTTAATAACTCGACGACGGTCTAGTAAAAAAAAAATTTAAAAAAATTAAAAAATTAATCGCTCTCGCATAATAAATAATCATCGACCACGTCGGTAATAATAATTGTTGTCCACGCGTTATTATGATGTAATAATAGCAAACCCGAAGTGAGAGTTGTTCGTGTACGCGTGTGTGGGTAAACTCGCGAATACCATCAGGAAATCTCCTATCGATCGGATTTTTCGCTTTAGGTTACCTACGTTAACAACTCCTCTTACCCGAGCCGACCTATTCGCTCGGGTTGCTGTTATTTATTATACAATATTATTAATAATAATAAAGAAAAAAAAACCAATTCTCGAGTATTACGGCAGGTAATACCCACACTCCGAGAGTTAGCGTATCGTCGTCGCCTTGGTTTATTATTATTATTTCGAGTTTCCAAGGTAAAAACCGCGTTATGTTCTTTGATGATTGGGGAACTACTACAGCATTGAGCAGAAAAAAGAAATTAGAACCGTGACACGTAACGGTGAGGCCGTTATAGTAATTTTATATATATATATATATTTAGTATTTACTACCTTTAGGCTATATTATATCACGGCTGTCCGTACACGAAAAATAAATCGTCGTCTCTTGTTGTAGAGATCGGCTTATGTATGTGACCCACATTTTATACGTCAAAAGAGACTGTGTTTATAATATGGTAGCGTAGGATTTAGCGAGTACGAGTCGATGAGTAAAACGGATACCGTATTTGGGAAAAGATCCCGAACGCTGGATGGAAATAATTTTTCTAATAATATACCTGCTGTAAAAAGTCGTCTGGTTAGAGTTATATATTATATTATATTATAATACATTTTTCCTTACTTCTCTGTACGTAGCACGAATAAACTCGTAAATGTCAATCACCAAAGAAATATAACATTAACGATAAAACGCGAATATTCAATTTACCCACTGCTAACTGACAAGTATAATAATATCCGTCTAGAAAAATGTCTACCTAATCAGTAAAAACTAATCAAAATCTGACAGAGAAATCGATAGACGTCTAATGTTTTCTTGTAGTTGATTTTTTTCTATTATACACGAACTGTATAAAATAATACAAACTGGGCATGCCTAGTTATATATCCTATGTTTAAAAATGAGGCAACGGTTATTATTATTTTGCGACCAAAATGTTACATTATATGCTTTTTTTTTATTCATTCATTTTGTTATATTTGAACAACTTTTCTTCCAGAAATCTTGATCCAATCAAAAATCGACGAGAGATTTTTGTAGAATTTTCGATCTAGCTAGTGCATTCGGGAAATCATTTTTATTTTATCGAATTCATTTTCCTAATAAAGTAGAACCTCACTAATTGGGGCTCTATAGGTTGTCCGAATTAAATGAAATAACCAAAAACCGTGCATGTATTATAGATTTAAGAATTTGTATTGTAATATGGCAAAATGTGGTGACCACGTTTTTATAATATATAAATGAAACATATTGAAAAATTCGATGGTTTTTCAACCGGCTTAGAATCTTAAACATTAATATTTTAATTCTTGAAAACTAAACAGCATAATTTTTCTATAATTATAGTTTTAGATTCAGTTTTATGGATTCTACGAAAACGTTCAATTTTTGCCCGAACTACACTGTGTTCAAAATATAACGAAATTATATTCAAAACGAATAAAATGTTTCTATATAAATTGAGGGAAATCTTGTTGATTAATCGTATTTTGCAAAACATTCATTATAATTTAAAGCCAAATACGCTTGACTTATTTTATTGCGAACTAATAATAATATTATTATTATTTGTGATTATGTCAGTTGTCAGAATTAAACATGGTGGGCGAATTAGTAAAGCCAACAATACAATATTTATCATCTGGTTCGAAAAATGTAAGTCTCCGTTATTTTAAAAATAGATTGTTACAATAATTTCATTGTACAAAAATAGAATGTGTGAAATGACGATGCGTTTCTTAAATAATAAATAATATTGTTGAAAGAAATTATAAATTTCTTTAGGTTTATTCGGTTTTTTTTCGTCGTTTAGTAGATTTAAACTATTTAATTTTAATTTTGATACTGACGTTAATGTTTCTTATCATATTTCTATACCTCCTAAGAACAATGAATTCTTATAATTTGGTCCTGCTATTTTGGTTTTCTTAATGGGAAACAAATAACACAGTTGATACCTAACGTAAGCCCCCCAAAAAAAGTTAAAAATGCTTGTCTGACATTACCAATTGATTAAAATGAATCCAAAATAGCAATAGTTTTTATATTTAAGTACCTTTTATAATTTATAAATAAGTATATTTATTTTAGATTCTGAGTGTAGCGAAAAATGAATTGGTTTTACAAATATGTTTATTTTTTTAAATTTTTTTATCCTGTGAACATAAATTCTACAATAAATCTTGCTCAGATATATACGCGCGGCACCATTTCTAAAAGAGAATGTTATCCAGATGGTACTTTTGGGAGGTCATTTTTTGATTTTCCAAGCAGTTTTCAAAATATCTGGGGAAAACCAGGATAAAACGCAATAAAAACGGGAAGTATACGAAATTAATGCTTTTATTATTTTATCAATTTTGTTATTTGTTGTAACTTAGTTAAAGAAATTTAGACATAAAACTTATATTTATGCTAAATAACTCTCTATTTGAAGTCGAATGGTCATGAATACGTATTGCCATACTAGGGGTCGCGGGTTCTAACTCGGGGTTTGAAAATAAATGTTTTTCTCTTTTACCTAAATAGGGAAAAAACAAATGCATTTTAAGTGTACCTAGAGACCCAGCTATCGTTCACTCGGACGATGATCTTGAACGAAAAATACCCCTCGATTTGTTGTGCGAACTTTTCTACGAGAAATCTTGCTCCCATGTATCAAGTGTAGCTTATTTTCTTAAAGGAAATTTTATCTCTATGGCTTAGGGAGATCATATTTGTGATTTTCTTAATAGGTTTTCATAATAAGTAGAAAAAACAGGAATAAAATGTCGGAAAAACGGAAAAATTTACGAAATGTAGGTATTAGTAAAAAAATATTATGACCTTTTTTTTCTGTGTATAACTTTTCTTCCAGCAATTTTGTTCCAATTTACAATGATAGCACTTTTTCCGAAAGTAAATCCGACTGATAAAGTACTTTAGGGAGGTCATTTTTCGTTTTTTCCAAGAATTTTCTTAGTAAATGTGATAATCCAGAAAAAAATATGGTATAAACGAGAAAATCGATCCAATATTAAACAAATATTATTAAAGAAAATATATAATACCTATTTAATTATGCTACTATTATAAGACATACATATATATTGTTGACAAAGCATCACTATCAACTGAACTACGTTCAGAATCGTTTTTTCGTTAGCAATGGTTTATCGTTGCTTACAGATATATATTAAACATTATACATTACTTATAACAGTGGCTGCATCCGTTTCCATCATCCTAGGACGTCTTTTTTTTTTTTTTGTAATCGATACTATTTCTACGAAAAATAATAGGACAATTAAAAATACACTTATGCAAGTGTATATACCTACTACCTACTATATTGGTCATTTTTTTGTATCCCCTCTTAACTGCATAAAACATAATAGCGATATTGATCTAATCTTTATAAAATGCAAATTTAATTTTTGTCGGTATTTTTATTTCTTTTCAATTTTCATTAAATGTTATACTTTTCTAAATTAAATATTATTGAAAACAGACACGTTTGCGAAAGCTATATTCTATAAAAGACTATAATAATATAACAGAAGCTCCGCTTCGCTGGTATTCCTCTCTAATGGATACCAAAAAATAATATTTCCATATACACATTAAGTTGATTTAGTAGTAATGTGTTTATCGGTCGGAAATACACGCTAGTGCACTCCGCCCAAATTGTTTGGAAAAACTGCCGACGCTGCCGTCGCACATGTACTGTAAAACGGGAAGTCGGACCGTTGTAATCGCTAATCATTTATCTAACCGGGGTGGGGTCGTGTCTTTTAGTTGTTTTATTTTAGTAGATTGTTTCTTATAAAAGTATTATAACCTATTATTGCATCGAACGAAACGTGTTCTGGAAAATAATAATTCATTATTATTTGGGCTAAATTGGGCGTCTCTGCTGGACGAGCATAATATAATATAGAAATATTTTGTACTTAACTATGTTTGATAATAGGTTCAATATTAATTTACGATCCAATTATATTAAAAAAAATATCGGAACACGATTCTTATTGAATTTTTATATGCATCGAAACACGATTTACGTACCTATGGTTTTGTAGTTAATTTTTTTGTATTTTTTACTACTTATTATATAGTTATTAGGTAGGTACTAATTTCATTCGAAATTCCCTAAAAATGCATTAATTACTTAATTTCCTTTAAAATTTCTTAGTTACACGCATATGTACACTATAGTTAATAGTTTAATAATAATTCATAACGTTCGCATAATAATAATATTGTACTTAACATATTAGAATGTTGTTTAAATAACCTTTATATTAATTAATATGCCCATAATCTATGGACCATTTTATATAATTTATATCCTGTTCGTTAAAATTAACAAATCTAATTGCATTTATTTATTTATTTATTTTTAAATTGGTCTAATTTAAATTTATTTCAAAGCTGTCAAGGTCTTTTTCATTGAATAAAATAATAATTTACATAGGTATTTAATCATTTATTTTTAAAAAAATTCGGAGTTTGACCTGTAGGTAATATACGTAATATAATACATATAATACATCGATTAGAATAATTTAAATCTATATAAAAAAATATAACTTGCCAATACAATAAGTCTTTTTTTTAAATCTGAAAATAAATATAAAGCTATTAAATTTACAAAGATGATGTGTTTTTTCCCCTTAGAAAACACAGTTAGTAAAAATGCTTCAATTTGTTTTCACGCAGTAACTAAAAAGATATGGAATTTCTGTACGAAAATACTGTATTTGAAATATTGATCGAAATTTTCAGCAGTTAATAACTCGATAAGTCCTTTTTTTGTTATTCGATTTGTATTGATATCTATGTTACCTTAATAATAAGAGAAAAAATACAACTATTACTACTCCACTCAGAATCGTTTTTTCGTTTAAAATGATTTGTAGTTGCATACAGTGTATAAACTAAATTATACAGCCTACTTTCCCAACTATTCATCACCTACAACAGCGACTTGATACCCGTAAACACAGCGAATCAAATGAGCAGGCGATCAAATTGATTGACTAAATAATTAATCTTGTACAATTTTTGTTTTTATATATTTATTTCGCCTATTTAATTTGACAGAATAGTATAAAATATAATAAATATATGTATGATTTTCGGAAAATTTGATTATACGCAAATAGTATATCATAATTAGTCCATAGGTGATAAATAGATAAGAGTTGGTTCGAGATGTATTTTGTTGAGATATCAAACACGCGTGGTACTTTTAAAACGGATGTTCACCATTATAAATAGTCTTATATTGTCTCGTTGAAAATGTTCGTGAAAATTAATTTGTATTTGACAAGGTGTCCTGTATACGTTTCTTTTTATTAAAACTTGTATTTGTTTAATATCAGTGTCACGACGAATTAATTTCATATTTAATATACGAATATACGTGTTACAATACGTATATTATGTTATTATTTTGCGAATTGCGAAGGGGCGGTTTGCAATATTATATTATTTGTGTACTAAAATTTTGTGTGTACGAACAAAATACAAAGTGTTCATCGCCAGATTAGATGTGTAATTATTATTTTTAAAGTCGAAATAATCCAATATTTACCTAACGCACAATTCGCTTGGTCACGAAAATACCGTTTTAATCGCTTTTTTTAAATATAAATAGGTAATGAGAAAAAAAAAATCAATCGATATTGCAGATGTTTTTGTTATTATTATTCTCCGTTTATTTTTCTCGGTCACGGTGCAGAATGCGACGAACTCGAACTGGTCAAACGGTATATCATCGCGCATTTCGATGTTTTCGTCGCATGATAAATCGTGTGTAAAAAAAGAAAAAGGTAAAATAATTCATCGGGTAGAATCATTTCACGGAATATGCGCGTCCACACTTTTATATAATAATAAAATTCATTTAAATATTCAGATAGCATCCGTAACGGGAAATCGTGCAGTACTTCCGTTTTACTATAATATACGAACGCCCATATATTTACGTACTTATATTGTATACCTATACGATAATCGTATATATACGAACAATGGCTGACACACGACGAGAGCAGCAAGACGATTCGGTTTTTAAACAAACTCGAATCGTTTGAAAACTACGAAATGACCATAACGTTTTGTTTTGTTATTGTTATTATTATTATTATTATTTACGAATAGTACCTAAGTACGCGGTTTATTATGGTTTATAGACTTCGGTTATGGTGGTATAGTATACTATAGTATTTTAGTTGACGGTAGTGGTGGTAGTAATAGTAGTAGTAATAACTGGGATCGTGACCAAATTATAATCGTATTGTATGACGTGTACGAGTGTTGTCTGTGTACGAATTACTATTATGTTGTTATTGTTGTTATTGTCAAAAAAATTATAGTGGTTTAAAAATAAAAAGTGATTTTAAATAATATTCAAGGACATTTTTTTTTTTTTGTTTTTTTAAATCACTCCGTATATTTTTGCGAAATTTTCCCGATATCCCATAGAGAGAAACGCGTAAAAATGTGTACCACAAACCGTACGCTATAATATAATAATTCTATGTAAATAATAATATTGTATGTATACCTACGTCATTGTACTCTCGCATCCATTATATTATTATATTTGTTTTAGACTTTGGTACAAAACTTACCTACTGTACCAGCATGTTATTAGCATTGATTGTATTTTTATCTTTTTTTTTTTACTGAATTTGAATGTTAAATTTTTTAGATTCTGGGTGTAGTGAAAAAGCTGCCTATTTGTTTTACTGTAATGTGTGTTTTTTTCACGAAAAACACTTTTGTAGTAAAAATACTCCGATATTTTTTTATGTCGTATTTCAAAAGAATTTTGGTTTAATAGTACATTAATTGAAAAATATTTGAAATTCTTATTACTTTTCGAAAAATAGCGTTCTATGTATATAAAATCAAAAAAAAAAAAACCAAAAAATGCAAGTTATTAAAATGCACCAAATTTTACACGCAGTATACGTCAGTATCTTACAAACTGTAGAATTTCTGTCCAGGGGTACTATATTTTTGTCTAGATTCCTAGCAGTTTTGTTTAGAAGTATGAAAACTAAACATAAATGTCTGTTACATAGGTTTTATTTTTGTTGATATCTGGGTTACGGGAAAAAAAATTAATACTACATTCCACTAAGAATCGTCTTTCATTTGAAATAATTTATAGTTGCATACAGTATGTAAACTAAATTACTTTTAGTATATCGTACTTTACCAACTATCCATCTACAACAAAGAGAAATATAAACTTTTTTTTATAAAATTACAAATATAATTATATATTGTTCATATTTTTTCCACGAACAAAATAATATTATTACGGCTGAACCAAAACAAATAATTATAAAACTAACTTTTTTCCATAGTTTTATTTTCTTGTCAGTATAATATTTACAATTCGCGTGGAAATAAACGGTTTTGTTTAGATATTGAATAGGTACGGTTAATTTTTTAAATTTTATATAGCTGCAATTAGTTGTTATCATATACCGTCACTGAAATAACATTTCCCTATCTTTTTTTTTATATATATTATTGTTTTGTTATTATAGTCGTCATAAATAATTACATTATTGTCTGTAGATAACAAATAGCAACAGCGATTCAAATAACTATAAGGAATATGAGCTACTCGATACGGTGTTAGATTTTGAGCGAAACACAGAATGTATTTGTTTTACTATGGTGCATTTTTTTTGTGTGTCTGAGTTCTTATTAAGTTATTAATCGATACACGATTCCTAGTAGAAAAGTTATTTACAGACACACGACATCAAAACTTAGAATCATTTTTCGTTAACATTCGTTACGTAAATAAATACAATTACTGTATTTATCTTTCGTTTCGACTTCCTTCCTAAAATATTAGTACACCCATTAGTAGTATTCTAGTAGTATCAGCCTATTTTAAAATATAATTTGCATTTTCTTTGAAACAAATTAAAAAACATTTTTATTGTTCCATTAGGTACTTAAAAAAAAATCAAACACAATTTTTTCGTGACGTGCACTTTCTCATTCATTCAATATGAAATTGTTTTTCTCTGTAAACGAACATTTCCCTGTACTTTTAGTACTATCAAGCAATTCGAATTATCCAATGTTTTATTATTGTCACCGTTCTAGAGATAAAACCGAATTAAAGAAGAGAAAACCGCACATTGAATGACCGAGTTTAAAGTGTATATATAAATATTTTATACGGAAAAGAAATATATTTAAAGTAATGCCTTTGCACTTGACAATAACTGATGGAAAACCGTCGTACAACAGGGTGCCACATATTTATACCACTGTGTTGTTTTCAGTGGAAATATGAACCTGAAATAACCCAGGAGCAATCTATAATCTACCCAGTGCGGTAGTGCCCATTTACGAATATTTCCCAGTAAGTTCCCTAATATATCTCGATGTTTTTATCCGTTTTTACTTAATTAATCCTAAACGAGTACTACAACTTAGTTTTTTCATATTGAACACCACTAAATCTAAAAAAACTAATTCTTTTTTTAAAAAGAGCGTTCGTTTCGCCACTGGTAGTTTCTTACACGGGTTCCCTTAAAATGGGCTTTAAAAAGCAACAGATCTCGAAAAAAAAGTATTTTTTTATGAAACACATCTCATTTTAAACCACTTACCGTGAATATACTTTGGTTTTATTTTCTCATGCACATTAATCGTCAAATTTGTCACTGTTTAGATTTATTTAAATAATATATTAAACGTTTAAGGTTCGTTTAAAACGGAACAATTCACATTAGAATAAATAGAAAGATCCGAAATCTTCAAACCCCAGCTCCCATCATAATTCATATAATATTCCTTGTGTGATTTGGTTATTATACTCTTATTTAATCGAACATTTTTTCATTTACATATCGTTGAATAAGTCATTCAGTATATTAACCGACTGAGATATTGAGATATTTTTTAATACCGTTTTTTTTTTACGAGTCGATTCTGTACAATGTGTATATTAATGAGATGTGTCAACGCACCTACTTATTAGAACTGACAAATCTTTTAGTCATTTATCAGTACCTATAATTTACTTTTATGTAGTACTTAACAAAAATGAAAAATGTAAGTACGTATTTAAGTGTGTGAGATTGTATAACGTGTTTTCTTGTTTGAGTATATAGTTAACGTAATTATCTATAAAAAAAAAAAAAAAAATGTTCTTGCTGTAAAAAGTTTTCGACGTTGGTTTTAAAATCCAATCCTGTGAAAAATAATGTTAAAAGACAATGACCCTGGATTCATACTAGATAATTCATTTAGTATGTTTGTCAGAAATAAAATATTGGACGTAGTTACATATACCAGACAAAATTCCATGTCGATTTTTAGTAATTAAATTTGATATCATATGTAAATATTATTTGCCATGAAAAATTATAACAAGGTACGAATTTTCGACATTGTTAAAAACATGTTAATATATTTATTATACCTTGCCGCTGTGTGGTAAATTATAATAATATCTACCAGACATAAATTACAATAACGTGTTTTTTCCCATCAAGGCCACGAAAAATAATGATCATTTAAAATTTTTTTTTTAGTACCGGGTACGCTGATGTTACCACAAATTTGTATATATGTATACTCGTATTATATCATTGTGCGCATTTATTATTATTATTACCTATATCGGTACCTATCTACATATAATACTGATAATAATAATAATAATAATAATACCATTTTCCCATAATTCGCGTTCTTTCGCGAAAAGGACACGCACAGCAGCAGACAGCCAGCTAAAATATCACGTATATTATTGTGTTTGTCGTGTGTGTATTAGAAAGTTACATACATTTATACCTATGGTAGGTAGGTATTCTATAGAAAAAATAAAAAGGAAGAAGAAACAATAATAGGTATATAATAATAATAAAATAAAAAAAACTGTCTAATCGTATAAACTGACATCACGATATTATAATACCGCGCGGCCATTGGTAATGGTGTAACATTTAGAATATACACTCTAATAAGTATATAAAGACAGGAAAGAAAAATAAAACAGACATACTTCGCATAATAGGTGGGGGCTACTGTTGTAGGTAAGAAGTTGTGAGGGTAGAGGGGAAATTCAATGAATATATTTACGCAAAGAATAATCATTGTTAACGAAAAATGATTCTGAACTAAGTTCGGTTTTACATTTTTTGAAAGGCCGTAATATTGAGGATTTGTAAATAATACATTTCATACGTTTTCCGTTTTACTTCCTTAAAGTACCGCCCTAGTCAGATTTCCTTTCAGAAAAAGTGATACACTTGAAAATCGGAGCAATATTACCTGATTGAAAAGGTTGGAAAAAGAAAATGTAAAAATAAACATCATTGTAAAACCATGATCCGCTTAGAATCTAAAAACATTAATTTTTAAAATTGTCGGTGGGACGAAGAAACTATTTTGTAGTTTTATTAAGATGTGGTTTTTGTACTATTTCTCCCTTCTCGGAAAACATTTGTCCAGTTAGAGAAAATGCTCAAATTTTTTCACACATTTTACAGTGTTTCCGTGAACACATACTGCATTAACCACTAAACGGATCCCGAAACCTTCGGTAACCAGCTTTACTAACCTAACGGTCAAAATCACACATTATATACGACAATAGGGTTGTGTCGGTTGCGCCGTTTAGTTTTAGTGAGTTTCTAGGTTCTAGCCCTTGTACGGTTGTTTTAATGTCAACTGCCTATTCTAGATTCCGGTATTTTAAGTTTATGACCACAGGGTTGCCGATCACAGAATTAATCAATAGCATAAGTGCGTATTTAAGTGTAAATCGTTCGAAGAGAACTAGAATAGTTTGCTAGGTAACCTCGTATAAACCGTGTAAAACATTAACATATACATAATTTAACGAGTAATTTAATGAAGCAAACAGAAAATCTTCAAAAATATTCTACAAATATTTTACTGGATTCATTCTCCAGGTCTTTCACTTGAAACCCAGACAGCAGTGATTTATCGAATGTAGTTTTTATAAATCGTTAGTTAATAATTTTAAAAAACTAGATTCGTCTGGCAGTGCCAGTGACGCGTTGCTACCGTTGAGTCCAACGACCGAGTATTAAAACTTTACTGATTTGGCAAATCATTTATTTTTTACTTTTCAATGGAATAATAATTGAAAGGAATACTATAGCTTACCAGTTAATCTAGTTGTTCTGTGAATCGTGTTTTTTTTATTGCGACGCTTTTTCGTTTGCTTATAATAAGTAAACTTAATTACCCTAATATCTCTACATCTATTCCCAACTTCCCACCTATAACAGCTATTACTATACAGCTATTAGCTATTACAACATGGGTGTGCTACTACTTACCCATGTTGTGAATCATTTTCAGTTTTTTTTTTTGTTTAAATATCACATGGATCCTCCTGTCGATTCGTCTAGATACTTCTATACTTATACACTTATAAATTCTTTATCGCATATACGTGCCGTAGTGTACTATACGATGATTTTCATTTGTTTTTTTTTTTTTTTTTATAGATGCTTCACAATATATTATAATTTTATAAAAGACACGTGCATTATAATAGGGTTTATAGTTTATGTATATCGTTCTATATTATACTATTATAATGTACTACGCGCGCCTCCTCCGATTTACGTATAGATACCTATCTAAAAAAAAAAATAGTGCATTTTTATTGTCCTCAAATAAAACAATGGTAAATATTATTATTACAACAAAAACGCCGGTAAACTGGGCCGTGCAATAAATAATTAAATACGCCAGACAAACAGCAGCTTACGTAGTTGTGTTTAGAAGATTTTGGCTCGAAAATTACTCGAGAACCTCTCCTCCCCTCGCCAAAAAAAATAAAATAAATGTAGTTATTGGTTAGGCCCTAGATTTATCTTGATAGTAATTATTATGGCGTGAGTAACATAACAAAATATTTAGGTATGATCACTGTGTGTCACGTTGTCGGTTGGTTGATTGACAACATTATAGCGGCAATACAATTTTTTGCCATTAATAGAAGTGGACAACTACGATGTCGGTGAAATAAGGAAATATTTCAAAGGGGTGTGCGTATTAAAAAACCTGTTACTATACCTATCTATCTAGAGGTTCTTTTAATCTTTTAGATTTTTCTCTTTGATATTTAGTTGTAATACGTACAACTAATAATAACCATATTAACTTATAATGTGACAGTAAGCGCTAAGCTTTATAGTTGTTTTTTTTCACCGAAATTATCTAAATTATTCTAATAATGATAACGAAAAATTTGAATTTGTATTTATATTTTATATAAAAAAATGTTGGAATACGTTTACACTCGTATAAAAAAAGATATTTTATACCTTATATAATTAGATAGCTTGTATTATTTTCCTCCTTCGTTTGTATGTCATCTATATCCCTCTGCAGTATTATACTCAGTTGCCTGAAACTTTACTGTAACGGAAAAGTTTTTAATATTAAAATATAGGTCATTTATATTTATTTAAACAATTTGAAGACAAAAAATTTAATTCTTCTAAAGATTTGATTTTTTTTTTTTTATATACATAAAAACTAAAAGAATATTCGGTGTAGTTTTTTTTTAGAATGTTATAGTATATTTTACTAGTCATCCTATAACTTTTTATATAACATACTAACATAAACGTGATTTGTTGTAAGCTAAGTTCCACAAAAGTATGGTGAGACCCGCTATGTCGTGTTGTATAGTCAGAGTGTTGGTCGATGGACAGAAAAATAGAACAGAGAATGAGTGTAGCAGAAATGAGAATGCTTATGTGTTGGAGTGACTAAAGAATATGGGATAGTGAGTACTTAAGCGTGGCTCCGATAGTAGACAAAATGAAAAGAATAGACTGATATGGCTTAGGCATGTTATGAGGATAAGTGAAGTTCAGAAACAGTAAGAATCGTAATGAAAATAAACGTAGGATGAAAGAGGGAAGAAAAAACCGAAAAAGAGGCGGTTGGATGCGATTGAGAATGTAATGAGGATAGCAGGTGTATGCGAGGTGGAAGATCCCGGTCAAGTGGAAGTTTGGGACAAGTATGATCGATCTCAAATAGTTAGGATGAAGGCGAAGGAAAAAAAAAACGAGGTGTGTTATAAAAAAAATTGTCGGGGGCTTGATAATATGCATATGTCTATCCCGTCCTATTTTATTAGGTTATTGCAGCAAGCCCTCTCGAGATTATCGGCTTTTGGGCGCGCGAGAAAAATTCAATACGCGCGGTCCCGAACGATTCAATGTGTGTGTGTGTGTGTGTGTGTGTGTGTGTGTGTGTGTGTGTAAGCGAGTGCGTAACTGCACAACAACAGCTGGTGTATGTGATGTATAACGATTCTCGTTTGTTATTATTGGACGCCGCCGATCTGGAACGAAGAGAAAAACGAAAATCTCCGATCGATACGACACCGCAGCCACGACGACGATATCCAATATCTGATTATGGCCTCCAGTTGCACGACGATACCTAATACGGGAACGCTGGGCCACCGACGACGAAGTCATAGTACTCGTGTTCTCCGGTTACGCCACGTCGTTCGAAGGACTTGGAAACTTGCAGTCCGGGTCACACCCGTCGCTCAACAGAGATTTTTAATATCCGAATAACGGCGGCTATCTATATATATATATATATATAGTGTATTTTTATATTATATTATTTTATTTATTTGTATTATTATATTCTCCGAAATTGTGTACGGCGCGTGACTAATGTACTGCACACTCTTATAAGATAAGTCGTGATAAATACACGGCGACTGTCGAAAAAACGAAGTTGTTATATTTGTAGACGAATCATTGTAATAAGTTATGTAATATAAGATTTTCTTTTTCTTTTAAAAAAACGCCAAAATAATAAAACCAACGTTGCGCACTGCAAGTTCTCCATTCGATCGATAGCATCTTTCCCTAAAGATGTATATTTTTCGATCTATTCAATGGTACTTTTATTTGAACAGTTTTTTTTTTTTTTTTTATCAAAATACCTAATATTATTTTTTATTTTCTTTGACATTTGTGTTGTTATTTGATTTTTTTTTATTTTCGGGTTACCTTGGCAGTTGTGGAAAAAACACGACTGATACCACCACTCTGTTCAGAATAATTTTTTTCGTTTTTAATGATTTATCGTCGTATATAATATAATCTAGATTATAATCATGTGGCAACCACCTTCTCAACTACCCACCTAAAACAGTATCAACTATTATAGACTCTTTCGCTCGCTTAAGTCTTATTTAGAAATCGGCGTACACATTTATGCACATATGCTTATGCATGTATATTATGCACGAACGTTTAAACGGCGACATTAGGTAGTGGCTAGGTTTCAGCATTATAATATTATTTTAAACTATTTATATTGCTTATAGTCTTGGCAATGCTATTTGGCCGATCCGCGCGATGCGTAAAGCTCCAATTGCATTTTTATGTTGGTTTTTACCTGTGGTAAATAAGAATTTCGCAAAAATTGAATTTAATTAAACGCACGTTGATTATTGTGCAATTGCCGAGCTATACGTATACATATTAATAAAATAAATAAAGGAAACATCTGCAAAGAAACGATTTAATTAATATTTGTCTTCAGTCAAACGTGCTTTATCGATATTAATAATAAATAATACAAATATCGAATCTTACTGTTTCTGTGGGGTTTTAATAGTAATGCTATTACTATTGTCTATTTATATTATAAACTCGTATATACTTTTTTTTATGAAATAAAAAAAAATAGACAACGAAGACAATAATTACAATTTATTTTAACGTAAAACTGTCGAGTCATTCATATACTTTTAGCATTGACCCACAAGCCTGCCTTTTATTTGAAATTTAATCTCGATTTAGGTTAGCTGCGCAACTTGGCAACGATAATATTATATATTTCCCTTCCAATTTATAACATTTAAAAGTCAAAAGTCTTATTAATATATTTATTTATTTATTTATTGATCATTAACCTCAAAAACGGCATTTTGTTATTTTTATATTTTTTTTTCGATCTGAAAATTGATTTATAACCAATTTATTTACATCAGATATTTTCTCCGTATTACCCTTTGTCTACCATATCCTTTGCTTAAGGGAACTCTTCGTAAGAATTCACTTCCATATCCTTCATTAATTGGTTGGTGTTCTTTGATTGTGACCTTCCTCTGTATCGTAATTCATTAATAATTATTGAACTGTATAATTCGTCATCACGTATCAGCGTGTGTCTATCTGTTATCTCTTTGTATCCATTTGTTCTTCTTTCAGTCCAACTTATTCTCTACCCCTTTCTCCGACACCACATTTCTAGAGCCTCTAGCATAACTTTTTTGTTTATTGTTCTTGTTCGTGTCTCATGTTCATAATATAAAGTCACAATCTATATTATTTCTCCTTACTCTATTTATTTAAAATCCAAATATAAGTATACCAATTTGTTTGTGGTTTTTAATGGTTACTCGATGTTTCGATGCTGGAAAAACTGGTATACCTATGATATGTACAATAGATTCATAATGGGATTTCAATATTACTAGACGAAGTTATAGTAGTGCGTTAAACTATACACTTATTGCGGTTTATTTGTATATCGTGGGCGTTTTAATTGGATACCTATAGAAGAAAACCCCTGAAACATTTAATTCGTACATAATAATTGTGTCCTCGTGACAGTCGTCTTATAATATTATGTGTTTCGGATTAGAATTTTTCAAACAGCCTTCGTATATATCGCGATAGGTGATGGTGTTACGTGGGATGGGGGTGAAGGGTTTAAGACATAATACTTATTTGCTTCGTATTTATTATAATACCAAGACCGTAAGAAATATCAAACTACAGGTCTGTGGAGCCTATAGTAATTATATACCGATTTGGTCCTTGCGAATTTAAAAATGTGTTAAATGTTTAACATTTTAAACCTATCATTGTCTATATTCTCCACGTTAAAAATATCTTATAAACTATATTTCAAACGAGGTTAATTCACGTCAATATGTATAAGTAATGACATAGCGTATGCAATATATAGTTACTACTATCGTATAAATTTAAATTAAGTCTGAAAGTTGTATGATAGTTCCTTTTTCAATATTATATATTATTATAATCTCACGACGTTGCGGAGAAAGGTAAAATGACATCGGTAATTTAATTTAATAGTATAAAGAATTATATAGACACATCGTATACGTGCATTGAACACGAAAATTATAAAGTAAATCAAACAAGTTATATGCCCTTATGTAAGATTCGTATTTTATTGAAGAGAAAAAATCAGTTTTAACTGCGTTACACATTTTATAATTCGAAGTTAACGCTGATTTTTATCTTGGTACCTACACAAAAATTATGTCATCACCTTCTAACTGAAAATACAGTTTCCATAAACGAAACGGTATATGGTATATAAAACGGCTGCAGTGTATAGTGTGTGTGATATGAATAAATTATTTATGGTCTTTGGATAGTGAACAGCAGCACACGCTCCGCGTGAACGTATTTCCACCGTGACGATAGTTGTTAAGAAGCAGAATTCTGAATATTGTATTAAAAAAATAAAAATTAAAAAAAATACCAAGAATAACGCGGTCTATGACTTGTAATGTCGAGTCGCGTTCGTTTAACTTCACATATTATATCGTATTTTACTACGAATATTTAACAAATATATAGCTTTCCGATTTCAAACGCGTAAAACGAAAATGTGTTGCAGATGCCGAAAATGTTATAGTGTAACATTATTTCATTTATTTTTTTCATAAACCTTATACTGATTTTCTAACCCTCTACCTAACGGTTCACTCGGCCGACGATATAATAATAACAGCAGGCAATGATTTTCTCTGTGCTTTTCGAGTGACGAATCCAATATAATATACGAGTCGTGTTATTATTACTTATTTATTACTATTGCTATTTTAGCAACGAGTCGTTGAGTCTAAAATAATACATACGAAACCAATCAATACATTATCATCTCGTAGATCTTCTATGTACAATAATGATTTCGCACACAATAGTTACGAAAATACGTGACGTGTAAACCCACTATTTTGTTATGATGTGAAGAATGCCCATCATCGTGCTATAGAGAGGCTGACGCCAGTCTGTGCTGCGGTGTCCGCTGTCGATCCAAATAGATTTTAATGACCAATGCGAGTCATATAATATTATTATTTTCCATTATACTAGTCGAGGGAGGGTCGAGTACAAATCACTCGACATCATCATATAATATAATAACACGCGTTTATATTATTTTATTCATATTTTGTATTATTATATATATATTTTTTTTTATAGGCGGAACGTGACAGTTTGATAGACACGCACCACGAACTAGAGAAACAGCTGGTGACTAGAGACTTGGAATTGCACGAAAAAGAAGAGGAATTGTTCTTACAATTGGAAAAAGTAATCAGACTGGAAGAGGACTGCGAGAAGTTGCGTAATGAAAAAGATAAAATGGTCAAATGGAAGGATCGCCTGGAACGAGAAAAAAACGAGGCGTATAGGCAGTTGAGGATGCAAGCCGAAACGTCGGAAATGACGCGGCGTAACTTGGAGAGAGCGCGGTTGGACGCATATAGACAGTTTTCTGAAATTGCTGCCGAAAAAGACACACTTGAAAAAGAGGTAGGCGCCGGAGAACGGTGAAATTTTATTACGATAAAATCGGAGCGTTTTTAACACATTTTTCTTGGGTTTTTGATCAGAATTCCAGATTAAAAGAAGTGTTGGAGGATCTCGGCAGGAAAGCCGATTTGTACCACACCAACAGCAAACAAGCGAGTAAGAAGGCAAAACGTGTGTCTGGTTTGGAACGCGAAGTCAACGAACTCAAAATGATGGCCAAACAATCGGCAACGTTAAACAGCCAACTGCAAAAAGGTATGAAACACTTAGCCACGTGTAGGCGCAAAAAATGTTCCGTGTGTTCGTACACGAGAGCCACGTTCGGAGAGTATACATCAAACAGACACGGGTAAGTCTAAATAACATTTTAATTTATATATGTATATAAGTAGGACATTTTTTTAAGTGAGGAAAACTCCAAAATTCACAAAAAAAAAGGTCTTAAAACATCCAATATTACTGATATACTGCAGTGTTCGAACCATATTGCGAAATTTTCTCCCGCAATTTAATATCATCAATCCGGTTGTCTGGGATTAATACATAAAATAGTAATATTACGTCTGGAAGTTTTAAATCGAAAGCCTATTGTATCAATCCGGACTTAAAACATTAAAATCCCAACGTGGTTTTTCATTAAGAATCTAGGGATATTTTCGATTTACTGTGCTGAGGTTTATTATCATCCTATCCAAAATGAACAAATTTAAGATTGCCAAAAATTACCATACAAGTCGTCGGTATGAAATTCGTAAATGTGTTGTTTTTTCTAAGAAATATTTGGTTAATAAAAATGCTCCGAATTTGTTTTACAATTTAAAAGATGCGTATTTTTCTTCCGGTGGATATTTAATAGACATTTTTAGATTACCGATGGTTTATCTATAAAATAAAAATAAAAATTTGACGAGAAATCTTGATACATTGGTTTTATTTTTTTTTTTTTTCGAGAAGAGAAAACGATTCGAGTAAGCGCCATTTCATTGTTTCGCGTTTTTTAATTTTATCTGTATTTTTAAATACAGAATGCAGATAAAGTGGCGTTTACTGGGTTTTATTAATATACAGCCGATAAATAACACAGTTTTATAACTTTAAACAACTTAACCCGTTTAACGATTTTCGTTTAAAATCTGTTTTTAATTGCAATCATTTATTGTTTGATTTCAGTATACATGCGGTATCCCACGAAGATATACCATTGTATATAAAATGGATATATCTGCGTAGGATTCCCAGTATGTGAACAAAATTATCATGTATCCTATACTTTCTAAAATCCCCAGCATCCATCGTAAAAAAGTATGTACTACTTTTTTTTTTATAATCTCGGACAACTGGATGCAACCTTCCCAAATACACGCACTTTTCGATTGCGTACGTGTGTGTGTGTGTGTGTGTGTGTGTGTGTGTCTGTCTGTCTGTGTCGTGTCGTGTCGTACGAGTGTTGACATTCTGTTTTTTTTTTCTATTCGCTCTAGGGAAAAAACTTCGAGATTCATCGGAGGTTGTTTCCCGCTCGACGAGCTTCGCCGTTCATCCGATCGGATGTCTACGTCGGACATCGAACTGGAGTGCGCGAAACTCGCCGAACGCCTGTCGTCGTGCTCGTTCCCGCATACACCGCCCACCACGCCGGAACGTTCCGTGGCCAGCGGTTCGTTGTCGCGGTTCGTGTCGTACATCGACGACGCGTTCTCGTCGGCCAGCGAAGACGAGGACGTCTGTGTCGGCGACGGCGGTGTTTGTGGCGGCGTAAGCAGACCACCAACGGCCGGCAGTAGCGGTAGCCGCCGGCAGTTTTCGTCCGACTCTGGTATCTCGTCGTCATCGGCCACACCGACCGATCCCAACAACATGACGCCGGCCAGCAACGGCCATCATCACCGGGCCCCGTCCTCCGCGTCGTCATTCAACCGCTCCGCCAGATGGACGTCGTCTTTCAAGAAACTCATCAGACGCGTGTCTTCCAAGAAACAGGACAACGAGTCCTAATAAACGCGAGTTGTGTTCCGATTTGGCTCTGTTGTCATCCTCGTCGTTGTGTGTGATGTTTTTTCTGCTTTTTTTTATGTTAGCTATGTATATTATAGGTCATAATATATTATGGTATACTACTATTTTTTAATAAGTTAGGTAAATCTCTTGTTCGCTATTATACTTAGGTAAGTATACTTTTGTACGATAGGAATATATGTTCGAAAACGATTTTCTTATTATTATATATATATTTTTTTTTTCGCAAAATTGTGCCGCCGTACTAGTATTATTATGACGGTTTTTATTCCACTCAGAGATTGAGCTACTGTTTTTTAATACACTGAAAATATTATTTATATAATATAATCCGATAAAATAGGTGCTGAAAACGTTTGACGATGGCGAGAAAATGTCTGTGTACTGTGGTTGTACGACATTACCATATTATTATTTTTATTCTCCTTCTTGTTACGTTTTTTTAATTTTTAGCAAAGTAATATTACAGTATTAATAATAAATTTATTTGATCGTTAACATATTCATTTTTAAAACTCATCATTCCTATATAATAAATAATATAATGTTATTCCTATAATAATATTTACTAATGAATTCTTCAGTTTTAATATTATCAATTTTATGCTTGATTGTTGTTTAATATTATGTTGTTGTTGTTTTTTTTCTTCTATCAAAGTTGCATTTATTGTAACAATATCAGATGTGAAACGTTTGTGTACATTTAATGATCGAAAACTAAAATTATGACAAACGTTTATCGAAGAGACATAAAAAAAAATTATTTAATTATATTATATAATCTTATGTCCTACATTGTAACTATAATATTGTTTTAGTTAATATTAATTATAGATTTTTTTTTTTTTATATATAATCAATTATGCTGTTTGCCTTAGGCTTATACTTTCAAAAATCAACAATTTTATTATAAAATAAGTACTACTAAAAATATATCATTGTAATTAATGTTTAGTTTTTTTTGTATGTAAACTAAGTATTGTTACAAACATTCAATAATACCTACTGTATTTGTTCAAGGTATAATAAAGTACATAATGTTCAAAATTATTTGAAGCAAAAAGATTTTTATTTCATTCGTATGTACTGAAAATCTCCTAGACAATCAGTTTTGGTGAAAAAAAATGTTTGCAAGTTTTGAGTTATGAATTGGTGGAGGCAACAATAAAAACATCTAAAACAAATAACTTTTGATGATTATAGAAACTGCTCGAAAACATTTTACGAAAGGTCAGTACATAAAACATACAATTGGTAAGTAACATATTTACTTATACAGGTATCTAAATATCAATTATTATTTTATAATATATTATACCCAATTACAATTATTGAGAAATATGATATACTTGAAAAACAAATTATGTATAATAATATATATTCATAAACTCATTATAATTACAAACTACGAACTTTATTGGTTCAAATCTATCAATGATTTGAGAAGAATCTAATTCTCGAAACAAATCACAAGAGCGATAATAAATATTGAAATTTGTCATTTGGAAGTGCGTAGTTTATTTTTAATTTATTATGTTTTGGACAAATTAATATTTTCCGTTACAAAAAGATACCAAATACCCATAATTGCAATACAAATCGCGATTATTTCTTATCTTGTTTCCTTTCCGGCAACGATGGGAAACCGCTTTGGCGAGTATATCTAACAAATTTCTATTTGTAAAACACATTAAGCATCACAGACCCCCGATTTTTCGTTTACATATTACACGCCATGTGATGTGTGATTCGTAGTTAATGATGTATTAATGATACAATTTGTGTATTGTAATTTTTAATTGAAATTCCTATTTTACGGGTTTCTATTAAGTGGAGGCCCAGTACTTCCTGCCCTAACCCTACTCTAAATCCGACATTGCCCATATATTATGGTTAAGTTAGGTTACTCCATTATGGTTTGTGAATTCGATTTCATTGACTTCGGCCACATTTGAACATAATAATCGAAAGACGAAAGTGAAATAAATTTAAATAATACAATTTCATCGAACTGTCGTAGGTACACCTTGTTTACTATACTTTTCGTACGGCTTACTATGAATTTTAATCGTACACGTGTTTGGCACCGAAATGTACATGTTTTTTTTTTTTTTTTCATTATCCTGTTCGGCGTTTTCATAAGAAAAACATTATTAAAACACTGCACGTGCGTACTACCAAGTTTTAACGGAACGAGCAATGGATTGCACTTAACGTCGGACAGATGAAAATTTTTTTATCGTTTATCATTATTTGTATAACTTGACGATCACGCGCGACGTAAACATACATGTGACACCCGGTGAAAGTAAAATGTTTATTTTATTTATACGGACAAAAACTGTAATAATAGTATCATAATTTATGATAAGTTTGTAAAACCTATATAAATATATAACCAAAACAGGACCGAAGTACAAGGCCGCACTTTTCGATAAAAACTATACATCGTCCAATAATTTTTCTTTAGTAGATTATAGGAATCGTTAAATTCAGAAAAGGCTCCTTAATGATAAATTTAACATTACAACATTAATTGTTATTATATTTTTTTTTACAGAGATTAGGTATTTTTGACATTCATAAAAACAATTTTAAATTCGAACATTTGTCTTTTATACTTATATAGCGGTTCACATCTAAGTGCATATCCATCATCAGTTTTTCAATAAACATAGGCATTTTTTTGAAATGTTTGATTTTATTTATAATTTTCAATGTAAAGTACACGTACCTACCTCTGCCGTGTCCATAAATGGTTTTTAAATAAATTTATTATTTTTTTTAGCCATTATAGGTATGTAAAATGCTTGTATGGTTAATATTTTTTTACAGATAAAAACATACTTTCGTCAACAATTGAAAACATATACACTATAACATGATAAATGTCAACTCGAGTTTGATAATATATTTTTCGAAATTGTCGATAACTATTACTTTTCTTATACTTTCAATTTCAAGTTTTAGATATAATACGTCTGAAGAAGATATTATGGTCGTTTGAGTTTCGTTGTCAATCGATTATATTCAAAGTTTTCGGTGCTTAAATTTATTAATTTGTATGCAATGCAATAATTCACCACTCAAGTATATATTATATGACGTATGTACCTAATATGTATTATATGGGTCATTGTCGCAGAGCATTAAATTTGAATTTGCAGTGTAGAGACGAAACTATTTTTGCATTTTTTTTTTTTCAGTGTTCCCTAACTAATTTGAGTAATTGAAATTCTAATGAGTAGTGACGATATTATTATTATTATGTATTCCGTTGCCAGAAATTTTATTTAAAACGTTCATCATTCGAAAGTTTTAGATAAAAGTGATATGAAACCAAAATCTAAAAAATGACAATAATTTGGCGATGTGGTTTACTAACAGTTTATACTATTTTTTAGAACGATATAATACTGTACATTTTAAATTAACACTGTAATAACGAATGAAACAAAAGAAATTTGGGTCTCCTAACTTCGGAACTACAGATATCCACTGTTCAGCTTGAGAGAAGATTCAGTTTGGAGTCCCCGTCCATAAAAAGTATCCAATTTTCACATGTCACATATATTACATGTATTATCTATCGAATTTGACCCAACCTAACCTAACTTTAGATGAAAATAAATTTGCGTTCGGAATCGTCTTTCGTCAAGCAATGATTTATCGTTGCTTACAGATATATATAAAATAACCTAGTGTATCCTACTTTCCCAACTTATCACCTATAACAGTGGCCGCTCCCTACCCTAGTATCAGCTCTTTTTTTTCCTTGTAGCTTGGGCTACAAGGCAATATAAAAATCAACAAAAGTAAAAGTAGTATAACATCATTTGTTTTCATATTAGATTGTTATTTAAAAAAAAAACTGTTAAGAATCTAAAGAAGATGGTTAAATAAAGCACTACCTGATAATTAAAACGTCATCATTGAAGGTATAACATGAAAAAATTGGAGTATACAAAATGCATATAGGTTTAATAGGTTTATACGTTAGGTAGGATTATTCGTGGGGGAAAGAATACCTAGTATTCCCTATGCTAGACTACAAATAGCTTCAGGATGTCTGATGTAACGAGCGAGGAAAAAGTATTTTAATAATTTAAAATAATTTACGTAAGTAGTGTCAAAGTCATTTAAATGGAAATATTTTAATAGTTGTTTAGAATTATTTATTGCAATTGAATTACTTTAAACCCTAATTGTAAGTATTGTTTTTCTTTTTTGCTTAGCAGCATTAATGGATTATGGATATCCTATGAAGCAATTGCTTTATGTCCAAATTAGGGGGGATGCATGTATAAAACTTTATCATTAAATATTATATTAACGAAAACGGCGTTGAAGTACAAGAACGTCTAACAGCTTTATTTTGACAGATTTGTCTGGGCTTGAGTTGTATTAGGATTTTTGCTATTTTACTGAAACTTTCATGGAAAACAAATGTATGCTGCCGTGCATAGGTTCATTATCTCAGAAAATGAATTTCATTGCACAATTAAAATAATATAGGTAATATATATTTTGTACATATTAAATTACAAAATTAATAATAATTGTGATATAATTTTCTGTTATTATTTATTCGCAAAATCACGAGTTAGGTAAAAATATAATGGATATTTATAATTAGGGATTTGATAGTAAATACTTATACTTAATACAGGAACCATCAACCATGTATAAGACATTAAGTCGTTGACACAGTTTTTTTTACCGATATGTTTAAATTAAAATAACAAGAATTTCATCCACAAAATGTTTGTGGTTGAGATTTTAAATTAAGATGACGTTATACACGAATAGTTTTGCAAATTTAAAATTTTATTAGTCATTTGTTTATTACTTATTATTAATGAATCCCAAATAGTTTAAGCCGGTAATGACAGAAATCGTTAAAAAAAAAAAAATAATAAAAATTATGTAATATTATTGAAATTGTTTCATAAAAACGTTAGATCACACTTGGAAAGCTGTTGATGATGTTACAGATTTTTTATCGACAACGAAAGAGGCGTTTAGGTTTCAAGATAAAATACGGGCTCTCGTTAAAAAATCATTTTGAACGGATCTATCGGAACATCTGTCATTCATCAGTATGTGTCCGTGTAACGCACATCTGGTTGAAATATTTATTAAAAAATAAAAGTTTTGAGTGCCGCAAAGTACTTGAAACAATTAAGGGGATTAACGACCGAATATCAAAATCAATTAAATTTACTATCATATTATTACAACGATATATAGTGATTTGTAAATTTCTATTATTGTTTATGAACGTTTTATTATCTGCGGCCCTGTGGACGATATTATTATTATAAGTTAATATTCACAAAAAAAAAAAAACAGGTGGGTGGCCCATGGGTACCTGGTTATTCAGAAATATGACAAAAAATATTAAATTTGTACAAAATAAAATTCATTCAATCAATTTTAGACTGCAGAAATTTTATAAATTTGTGCTTGAGTGGGGGTACTTTGGATTGGAATGGGTGGGTGGCTGGAAAATTAAATCGATGATTCAAGGTAAAAATACTTCGAGCCACCACTAGTGGGGAGGGATAATAAAGAAATATGCAAAATAGTATAAAAGAATTTATTTTTTTATGGTTTTTGAAAATTTAATTTTATATATTTTGGAGAAAAATGAATTGTTTTTAAGATAAGTTAAAATTGTTATTATATAAAATGTATTAAAAGTTAGCTCTATCTTAAGGCCTACGAACAAATGTTGATGACTTTTTTTTCTTATTAGTGACTAATCTAACAATTTACTGTTGACTTTTTTTTTGCTCATTATAGTGTCTAAGCCTATGATAGTGTTAATCCGAACTTGGATTTAAAGGTTTAAGTTTAGGCTAAAATAATAAATACATTTTATTAATCGGCTTCTGCTTAGAATCTAAAAAATAATAATATTATTGTAAAAACCTCCGGAACAGTTTTTTGCAGAAAATACGATTGTAAAATATGTAAAACGGAAATAAACACGTCCGTAAACGACGACAACGGTTTTTTGTCGTATTTACAT